TCAGCTGTTTCTCAAGGGCTCAGCTCACTCACAGACCTCAGTCAGAATCAGAATGATGATGATAGCGCTCAAGCTGGTAAATAATATGTTATTATTTGCAATTTACTTTAATTTCTCTCTCTAATAAATCCCCCTGGGGTTTATTTCAAGGTTGTCAGCAAAAGTGGGTTACCATGGTTACCAACATGTAGTGATGTTGCCTATATAACAAGGCATCTTACCACTGTTTGGGGAAAGTGGCCATAAGGTCTCTATTCCTGGTCACTGACACCTATTCCAGGCCAATTTTTTTGGGAGGTGGGGTGAGGGTGGGGGCTATCAGAGAAGGGGCTCACAATGTATTTAAACAAGGACAGGCAGTCCTTGGTGTCAAGAAATTTGAGAGCTCTCTTCTAGTGTTTCAACAACATTTGACCAATATGATGGTTGATTCAGAGGTTATAGATCAAGAAATAGTAGAAGGTACCTAAGCCCATTCCTCTTTTATTTTCCCCCCAGCTGTTTGATAAGGCATAATTTGCCTGCATACCAATATATTATGGCCTAGTATCTCAAATAAGTCTGAGAAAACAGCTATACCACCAGTACTTTTCCCCAGGAAAACGATGTCTGAGGAACAAGTGCAGAAATTCCATACTGTCAATGTGTCATGACCCAGATCTGGATGTGTGTGATTGGTCACGCCACAAGAGAAATTTGCTTAAAAAATTAGAAGCACTTCCCAGGTTTGGGTAGTGATACATCATCAGTATGGAATTTCTCCGCTTGTTCCTCAGACATCAATTTGCAGGGAAACCAGTGACGGCATCAAAAATTGTTGGTTGTTTTCTCAGGTTAATCTCAAATGTTTTTTGTTTCTTATCAAGCAACTTCTGGAAATTCATCACCGGATGCTGAAAGTTTTGGCAGTCCTTCCTTACTTTTGGATAGTCTTCAGTTTCCATCCATAAGTCAAGGAGGAGACACTCTCGAATTTGAAGAGGGCAAGTTCATGGAAGGATTAGAATTTCCAGACATTGGGAAAGATTCTGACTCAGAGACTGAAAATGTTCATCCAGTGAGTAGGTCGGAAGTGGACAGTAAACCAAAAACAGTTGAAATTGAGCAAATGCAAACAAAGGAACCCATTGACAGAGTTAACAGTCAGACAGCTTCAAGAACATCTGAAAGTGCATTGACATCATCGGCAAATATGGACGTGTCAGACTATGAGATGTTAGACCAGTCTGAAGCTGAAGGAATGACACCAACAGATGAAACAGACAATGTTGATTCCCAAAGCGGACTGGGATCAGTGACTAACTATGTGGGAAAATGGCTTGGCTACTGATTAATGGATATGGGGTGGGACAAAAAACCTTCTCCCTATATCCACTTAAACAGTGAATAGCACATGTCGTAAGTCAATGATAGAAATTCGTATTCTGGCCAAAAATTACAGTATGTCCTCAAAATAGTGCCCAGGCATTTACCGGTATTTAAATTTCAGTCAAAATGGGGAATGAGAGCACTTCTTTAACCGTTTAAGCCCCAATATCCACATACAAATTCTCCAAACTGATCTCTATGCATTTCCTTAAAGAATGAGTTGAGAGAATTTGATAAAAGCTCAAAGTATTTTCTCTTAGGTGATCATTTAATTAATTCTCATAACCTCATCTCATGAAAATTGCGGTTGGTCATTATTGGGACTTAAAGGGTTAAAGAGAATCACTTAATTAATGGCAATTAATTTCCTTGAGATGTCCTAAGTATTCTTGGTTTGCGTCATGTGATCAGTAGGCCATGTTAGTGGTCAATACAATAATAACAAAGAATACACATGAAAATGGAGTTTAGTTCCCAAAAGAGAGAAATGCTTTTGTTCGTGATCAACAACATGGCTGTTGTGGTCTCACATTTTAACCAGCAGTTGAAGCAAATGTGGAGGGTTGGGGTTGCTTTTTTGGTTGAGGCAGGTCCTTGACTACTTGGGAGGCTGGTGAGGGCAGTTAAGACTGTTCACAGTCTCCTATTTTTCATAATGCTGTCATGATTAAGCAGTTACCGGTACAGACCAGGCAGCCATCTTGTTTTTGTATACACCAAGCATTTGGGTTTTTAGTGGTGGGTGAGATCAGTTTCTTGCCTCCTGCCAAACTGTCCCCTGCTCCCTAAGTAAATTTGACACTCATCCAACGTGATGGCAGCCCGTAATGCAAAGTGTTCAATCTTCACGATATTACCAAAAAAAATAAATGATAGGGGATTGTGAATAGTCTAGGGCAGTTTAGTAGGGCTGTGCTGTAGCTGTAGGCAGTGGCATTTGGCACCCTACTTTTCCTCTTGGGCAACTAGGAAGTCTTGAGCTTTTTCCTATAATTCATATGCTGGGCATGCTAGATTTCACAGGTTCCAAGCACTGGGCTCCCTCCAATTTCTTAGTTCACAACCTTGCACAAGCTAACATTTGAGGATCAGAACTACATGATATGAAGGCTCTAATATTCTCTACAATTTTAAATGTGCTTGTAGAGATGTAGAAGCTTTTAATAGATGGGAACATCATATTCTTTTTGGTGATAAGAATATTTAACACTTGTTTTCGTCCTATACACCTCAGTAAAACTTACACAACTGAAATTTAAACCAAGAACCATACTTTGTTGACAGACAGTTGTAATAATCTCCTTCAGACACCATGTATGATCCTCTGCACTTACTAAGACCATTACATTTCCAGGCACATAAATTGAAAAAAAAAAGTTCACAGCTCCAAAATATTAATTTTGTTTCTGCTGGACTGATGTTTGGTGGGATTGAACCAGTTTCTGTAACAATAGGGTTTTCTTTCTCTCTCTCTCTAGTGTGTGTATCAGATTAATATTATGTAAGATGAAGTCACTTAGTAACTTTAGGGATTTAATTGAAGGAGCGTGTCAAATAAGTTGCAAGGTGACTCTTGATGTACGGTTTAAAAAAAACCTTTCATTCTACAAAAAAAATTAAGGCAATTAAGAGAGAACTTGCACAAAACCCCTTCTATTTATGTAAATAATGCTGCAAATTTTTGGTTCTCTGGAAACCTCTTAGGCCCGGTTCAAACGTTGCATTTTACATGTACTGAATCTAATCCAAATGAAGAACAATAGATTTTCCTCATTAGCACTGAATTCAGTACAGGTGAAAAGCGACGTTTGAACCAGGTCTTAGTTAGCATCAACTTATTTATTTACAATTTCTAGGCATTACTTAACTGTCACCTTGGGGTGGATGTGAGTGGTTGTTCGATGTAAGGGACAACATATTCGCAATTTTTATTTACTGGTGTTATTTTGAGAGGTTCTACTCCAGTTCTGACCCCTCTATGTCTCAATGCCACGAGGGACCAAATCTGTACTGGAGAGGGTTGTGTTCAGTTTGGGGGATAGAATATTCTGAATTTTTATACATAACTATTATTTTAATATTAACCCATTCGCCCCTGAACCGCCCGTAACCGCCCGTGCGGATCCAGGTCCTTTCTACCCATTGTGACGTCATCAGTTTTAACGTTCAAGGACAACTTTCTTCACTAACTTGTGCAGAGTGAAGAGATCTTTCAAACCATACCAGAATGAGCACAATTCAGTCAAGGACACCGGAGAAACAAGCAAAAAACCACGTGACATTGACCTGAAAATCTCCATGAAAATCTTGTTCCATTACCCACCTACCTTTCCTTTCACCTAATCCTAAGATCCTAAAAGCTTTCCTAAAAACTCTTCCCACCAAAATCAAGCCTACTAAATGCCCAGCAAGAGAAAAAAAAAAAATGAGGCAAGAAAAGCGAAAAAAGAAGGGAGGAGAGAAAGCGAAAAGTAAAAGTCAAGACTGCTGTGTCACTTTTAAACCCAAAAACTATCTCGAAATTTTGCTTTCTGCGCATGCCCGAACTTCGCAAGCTGATATTTTGCATCTGGATCAGAAGGCCACGAAGCGTACGACCTGTAAACCGGTTTGTGGTAAGTTTTAGCTCTTTATAGCACGACAGTGACCAGAAAACCACTCGACTAGCTTCAAAACGCGATTTTCGGCAAAATCTCCAGGAGCGAATGGGTTAATGATAAATACAGTAAAATTCTGAAAATAAGCCCCTCCTAACCCTCCTCCAAATATAAACCCCCCAGGGGGCTTGTACTTGGAAATTGTCCTGGCCCCGGTTGTTCAAACGTTGGATAGCGCTATCCACCGGATAAATCACTATCCAGTGGATAAGTATTAGGGAAACCAATTGCACTATCCACTGGATAGATTCTTATCCTGTGGATAGCGCTATCCAACATTTGAACAACCGCGGCCTGTAGTACAAAGTAAAACAAAGAAAAACAGTAAATTCCTTTCCAAAAATAAGGCAAGCCCAACAGATTTTGAAACGCAAATTTCCCTCCGTACAAAAGCCCCTCAAAAACGACCTTTGAAAAATATAAGCCATTGGGCTTATTTTCGGATTTTTATGGTAACATAATCGCAAGGTGTAAACCAGCTTGTTTTAAAATATAGTGTGGGCAAGTCTAATGCATTATTTTACAATAATTTGCGGTAAAAACTCAATAAAGGTGGTGTTCTTTTTTTCTTACTCTCAGCATTACAACTATATGCAACACTGAACTACAACACAGATAGCCAACTGATTGATTAGCCTCTAGCTTGAAAACTTAATTTTCAGGCAAGCAAATGCTTGTTGTTGCCCCCTCTGACTAATAACTAGTTTCTTGGTGTTGCAGACAGGTGCAATCACCAAATTCATGATCTCATACCAACGTCACAAAACAGACGGTACAAAACCAACAATGGTTTCTGCAATAAGAAACACCCAAAATTGGAGAATGAAAAGTAAAGTTTAAATAGCATCCTGTGCAAGAAGATTTTTCTTGAGGCTTCATCAGCCTTGTACCCAGGCCAGTTCGCACTATCCGAGTTACCAGAGGAGGCTTGGAACCAAGCACGATAGTGGGAGGGTATCCTCTGCGAATTTTCTTGACAAGCTTGACAAGTGATGTCACATCTGAAATCGCTGAGGACGACTGGCAACGAGGCTGAGGCTTCATGCTTTGGGCAAGGATTTGTCCTCCTTTGGCCAAGCCAAAGGAAAACAACTTACCCACTACTACCCCAGCAAAATAATAGACTGGCCTTTTTAGATTTTATGGTTTTTTTCTCTTATTATATAATAACCAAGTGATGTTACCCCAGAGAACTGTTTCTTTCAAATGTCATCCTATCCACGTGTCTTTAAGGATATTTTTTAATGAACAGACAAAAAAAAAAAGAAAAGGCAATTTCTTTGAGAAGATCACATAGTCTGAGTTGCATTTCTCTTTCCCCTTTTCAATGCAGGCTACAAAACCTCTTTATCAAGATAATCTGCAACAATATTTGCACAACTCTCACAATACTTTGGTAGAACATACTGTTTAACTTCTTGAACAAGAAAACACAAACAAAATGTAAAGAGGAAACTTGTTTATTGTTGGACTGTACAAGAAAGTTATCTATGTCTCCTGCATCTCCCTCAGACGTCGTACTGCACTTCTGACTGTTACAGCGGCTGTGGTGCTGAAATGACAGGAAAGCAAACAAGTCATTATTAATAAAGGGAAATCCAAATTTTAAAACATCCTTGGAGAAATGGTGAATGGTTCAATAATGAAGAGGACTGAAAAACTGGCAGCAGAATTACAGTGTTCAGCTGGGGAAGAAAAGTCAGCTTTGGTTTGGATTATTGGCAGGTTGAGAGAATGCAATTAACTGTTCATTGCAGATTTCTCATTTGCTGCCAAATATTAATATTGTGATAAATTTTTTGCAAGCAATCAGTAGCTTCAAGCAGTTTTGAAGTTAACGCCAGAGCTAACTAACTGCTCTTGAAGATGATCAAATTAACTCTGAACTGAAAATTACAGCAAAGACGGATATACATTTAGTTTTGAACGCTGTATATAATGGTATTTTGAAGCAGGGTATTCTGAAAGCATTGATAAAATAAGATAAAGGCGGTGGATACACATGTACAATGAACATTGCATGCTGTACCTGACAACCCATGCTCCTCCAGCGATAGTCTTTCTGCATCCTTTGCAATACCAAATACCAACACACTGCCTTTTTAGCGCTTCCTGTAAAGCAAATTAAGTGAGCATTAATTCTCTTGTATTAGATCAAAAACCAAAATAATGACCCGTTGGGGTAGTGAGTTTACAGAATATATGTAAATTGCCTACAAGCTAAGCTTGTAACCTTTTAAAGATAAAACATTTGCGTGAACCAGTAAACTAAAGTCTTTACTATTACCTTGAATTAAGGCAAACTTACTTTCTGATTTTTGCCTCAGTTCAGGGAAGTGTCATATTCAAAGCCCATGTGACCTGCTATGATTGGCAGGAACACAACTACAGTGTAACCCCGCCTTATGACAACCCTGTTTATATGACCACCTGGTTATTACAACCATATTCTTTTGACCCAAACGTAAAAAATAACTGAGTCATTTTATTATTTTGAAGACCCTGTTAGTGCGAGCTTCTTGTATTTTGACCAGGATTGTATGGCCCAATGGTGGTTGCATTAACGGAGTTCCACTATACTGCAAACTTTTGATATATCTCTGGACTAGTTTCTTCGCTTCCAGAAATACTTGACCGCACAATGCATGTACAGTACCCTGACACTGGAAAGAGCTGGATATGTGAATGCCTAGTCATTCCTTTTATAAACTTTTCTATAAACTTCAACAGCTTTTAAGCCTGGCACTTTTCATATGTTGGGAGTATTCCAGAAGATAGGAGATTTCACTGTTCCCCAATAATAACAGATGTTGCTGATCTAACGAAAACAAGAAATTGAAGATATATTCCACTTCATCTGGGGTGGTTTGTGACAAATAATGTTTCCCAATTAACGGAAGAACCAGAAGCATTCCTATTTTCCAGATGCATCCCAGATTTCAGCAATGTCGAACGATCACTCCTGACAATGATACCAAAACTTCAAATTTGTGCTGTCAGGGATGTCAGGGGTCAAGGGCAGTTATTCTTGCTTGGTCCCAACCCTCCAGTCTGTTCCTTAAGCCATTTTGATTTGTGAGAGAAAAAGACCAGAGCTAAGTATTATTGCTTAGCTCTGGTCTAAGCACTATTGCTTAGCTCTGGTCTTTTTCTCTCATAAATCGAAATGGCATAAGGGACAGACTCTGGATTTCTCTGACATATCGGTACATCTGGGATGATCGTGGAAACAGTGAAAATTCTAATCACGCCAGATCTTCCTGATGTATGCAAAATAGGCCTAAGGACAATGCTGTTAAATGCTGTTCTAAGTGTATATCTAAAGTGGATATACAGAAAAGCAAAGAATTCTATTTAAAGGTTTTTAGGAAGTAGATAAGCAGTTACGTTGATATGCAATACAGAGTGGATACGCAGATGGCTAGTTTGTAGCTGATATCAAGGTGGCAGTGTTGGCTGACAAGGGTGAAACACTTCCCTCTACTGGGATCTAAACTCTTTCTTCATACAAATTCTGTTACAAAAATTGGTGTTCATTGTTGCTCAACACAGCTACCTTATCAAAATAAGAATACACCAGTACATGGTGACCACATATCTGCATATCCACTTTTTTTAGGGGTTGGTTCAACGTTGACAGGGTGTTCAGTTAAGCTGGACAAACTTAATGATTATTTCATTTCGCTGTTTTATTTATGATAAGATGCAAGATGCTGGAAGAACGGTTCAGAAAGCAATAAATATTGATTTATTTCGAGTAGAGGAGACATCTCATGCTGGCTATTTTGAAAGTTGTTTTCTGTTTCAGTGTCCTTCCACAAACACTTTCCCTCTTTTTCTGTTAACTGACAGCCTTAACAGAGAAACCTTCTAGACTTACCTTTCCACAGAAAACACATGTGTACTTAGAGTGCTGTGTAATTTCCATTTTTTTCACCATTTTACGGAGTGAGGCACCGTAACGTGTACCATACTTCCCGACAACTCCAACCTTTTTGGTCCTCTTTGCCTAGAGAAAGAACACACGCGAAACAAGCCCACGGAATCAGAATTACCATGTAATAATTACACAGTTAAATTCCAAAATTACACTGTATTACTACAAAATCGTTGATAGCTCTAGATGGAAGCGATTTCTTTAGGAAAACGAAGGATTTCTACTGACCATTTTCCGATGTTTCGGAGAGTTACGAGACGAGGAGAAAGAGGGTTATACGGGAACTTGGGTTTGTATTTAGGCCCGCGTGCCCCATCAGCGGAGTAACTGATACTTTATGTAAGATAGAGTAGCGCGAGGTACAAATTTTGGCGCGGAAATACCAGGAAAATATAGTTTATATTTTTCTTCATTTTGTGGCAAAATGAGCAAGAAATCCGACGATGAAGGTATCTAAGAGATTAAGAATACGTTCAAATCATTATTCGGTTTAATTTGAAGCGAATATGAGTCGTTTTAACATTTCCTGTCCGTTTAAATTCTCAGCCTCAGATGCTGTTTTGAACTATCTCACCAAACAAAACAGACCTTATAGCGCGGGTTGGTACTTTCTGAAACTGTTTTCTGCAATATCAGAATACAGGGATGAAGTCAATGTAAAAACTCATGTTTCCTATTCTGCTTCATTCCAGTTGACATATTTTCAAATCTCCACAAAAAGTTTGGAAAAACGGTAACTTAAATGTTTTTTATAGCCTGTTTTTTAGAGCCTAGAGCCTGTTGATAACAGACCTTTTAATCTAAAGAACTTTAGAAATTCAATTATTTTCCTGTTTACTTTTTAAAATCATTTTCTCAGGCAGTTCAAAGAAGTCTGGAGAAGCTTGCCAGTAAAGGTGTTATAACAGAAAAGATAAATGGCAAACAAAAAGTATATGCACCAAAACAGGTAATAAATTAAATGGAAACTTTATTTGTGTTTTTGAAGGTACAATTGTAAATCTCACTACGTATGATAATAAACAATAATACATAAAAACAATAATAATAAATTAGGATAATATAATAATGATAATGATAATAATAATAATAATAATAGGTTCGTGCCACAGTGCGCGGTCCTTAAATAGTATCCTTTGTGGTATTGTGATCACTGCATCCTCCTCTCTCCTCCAAAGAGGTTCCTGCTGGGCATTCAAATAAAAATTGTACCCCCCGTGCCAGCCCACCGATGACACAAAGTGGTCTCTGCAGAGGGGAGAGCTGCATCCTTATTGTTTAACAATACAGAAAATCACGTGTTCAGCCCGGGGGGGGGGGGTACTCCCATACATTACCTATACGAGTATGTGCCGCCCAACAGGGTGATTTAGAATGGGGTATCCATTTCAGAGGCGTTTTCTAGAACGGGGTATAAAAAATTGTGGATAACGGCTTTATGTTCTGCTCAAAATTGTTGCTGATTATGAAGAAGCATTTATTTGATGTATAGGTAGAACAAATAAAGAAATATCTTTTTTAAAAAACAGGGCTATTTCAATTTACAAACTTTCTAGAACGGAGTATAAAAAATTGGCGCATTTCTAGAACGGGGTATCAGTTTTAGGGCGAATTCTAG